CCTGACACCATCTCGCACTCTGCAAGTGTCTGAGGGATTGGATAAAAATTATAACTGGAGAAACCTTCCCGTGAGAAAGAAAAATGAAAAATTGAAAAATATTGCATGTACTGTATACAAAAATCGAATATTATGACTAAACATTGATAACAACTGTCATTCCCCAAATAATGATTACATTTGAAAATTTTGCAATTTCTTCAATATTATAACTTCAGTTGGATACGCAGTTTGACGCATTATGCTTTGTGATTAAAAGATACATTCTCTATCGAGAAAGAATAAACTTGTAACGCGAGATTTATTTTTTCATTATCTACCAATCCACATATACTTATTAGTATTTCAAACGGTGCAAATAACAGATGAACAAATCTTGTGTTTGGGTGAAAATATACAGTGTGGGCCAAACTTGACACTTTTAAAGGGAAACTCCTGTTTTCAGACTAGAAAAATTAAAACTGATGGATGTGTCTGAGGGTCAAATTTTATGACAAACTTTATGATGAAAACTCCATATCGATATCTATCATTGATTCTGAGTTATAGCATGTTTTTCGAAAAAAATGTGCATGTTCGAAAAGTTGCTGTAACTTTTTTCCTGTCAAAAATTTCTGTTTCTATGAAAACATTTCCAAAGCCCTTTTTTACGTAGAATTCAATGGTTTGAAAAACGTATTTTGATGGAAAACTATTTTTTTATGAAACACCCTGTATATTCTTGCAAAAATGTAGCATACTTGATGTTTTGTCAGAGTTAACTTTGAAATACAGAGCTTTTAGGTTTTGATGTAGACTTTGACACGCACACTTTGATCAAGTATGCTTTGGACCCCGCGGCGATAGTAGCAGTAGTAGCTATCAAATGTTGGGAAAACTTTTCACAGCCGTAATTAAAACGCATGGTATCAATGAAACTGATAACAATTTATAACATATTTACTACTAATAAATGAAACTTCAACAATAATAATAATAATGATAAAGAACAAACAATGAAATATATTTCCCCAGAGAAGGTGTCTACCAACTTCTACACACAGGCGACATCTTTTCTGAACGTTTTTTTTACGATTTTATTAGTTCAATAGGAGTGAGAGAAGCAAAACTTTGCATCACTGCCGCTTCCAATTCGTATCTAGAACTGCTCGGCAATTTGAAAATAAGATCTTTCACTTTTCCCAGAGGTAGAAGTTCATAGGCGTTAGGTCCGGTGATCTGGCCAGTCAATAGTTGGGCCCTTGGTTGGCCATCCAATTATTACCGAAATTTGCAGCCGAAAAATTGGTGACAATTGCAGTGTTGCGAGACGAAGTCTTGTCTTGTTGAAAATATATTTTTCTGACCTCCATAAGTGACAACTCATCCACAAGGGGTTTAATATTTAGCCTTAAAATTCATGTGTGACATGTGAGAGTGCCATTATAAAAGGACAGGCCGATAATTCTACTCCTGAAAACACTTGCCCACACACGTTCAAAATCTCCTGGTCTGAGTTGATGAACTCTTGTGGTCCTGAGAATGTCCGTATAGGACGAAACTGCAGTAACGTTAGTTACAAATAAAAGTGGTAAAAAACAGAAATTTTCATTTCTCTTTTAATTATGATCTTCTACCACATAGTAACGGCTACATCCATCAGTTTATTACCTACCAGTAAAGATTTGCATTTTGTTTTATCGCCGTATCGAAAATGCACATTTTCGAAAAACATTCTGAAACTTAGAAACGATGATAGATATCATCGATATCGATATGCGGTTTTCACCACTGAGTTTGAAATAAAATTTGACCCTCAGAAACAGCCATCAGCTTTCATTTATACAGTTTGAAAACAGGAGTTTTCCTTTAAAAGTGTTCAATTTGGACAACTCTGCACATTTATCACTCATTTCCGCAACATCATAAAAAATATTCATTCTATTGGAACTCCTTCCATAAATTTACAGAAAGTATACATATAGCAGGCGACAACGAATTCAGTTACACGCCGTCATTCAGTTGTTTGTTCCGTAAGAGCTTAGACATCCGAAACGAAGATACAGTTCAATGGGGTCGATATTTCTACCGATAAAGCAATTGAAAAATTAAAACTCATTTAACCGAGAACGAACACAAGTCAAAAATTTCAATGACCAATAATTTAGTTCCATATTTCAAATTTTTTTGTCTCACATATAATTGAATGGCGCCGTTACATTGAGTGCGTTATCATCCAATATACAAACACTCGTTTTCAGATCGTAATTAGCACTATTTTGGATATTTTTAATTGCAAGATTCTTGTTTACTTTCTGAATACTTGACAAAGATGGAAAAATATTTGTTAAATTACAATGAGAGTTCTTAAAACTCAATTTAAATTAAATGTAATTATCCCTATCTTAGCAATAGTAATTACATTTATGATTTTTTTAGGAAGGGGTTTATTTTCGTGACAATTTTTAACAAAGGAAGAATAAAATTGAATTTTATATCAATTCTCTTTCATTTATGTTAGGTATGTTATTTTTTTCAATTCACAATCACAAGGGAAATTTAATACATTATTTTTGTCAGAAAATCATGATAAGAAAGGATATAATCCGGGCCTTGGTCCAAAGGAACTTTTGTGATCGTGAAGTCTCAGGAACGAAGTCCTCGAAATAAACGTCTACACCACTGAAATTGTCTGTCGCAGTAACAGACGAAACATTTGATACTACAAGTTACCTTCGGCTACGGCCTACCATTCCGGATTTTGATCTGTCTAATCGTGACAACGACTGCGAAAGCCTATGTTCTTAAATTAATTGATAATATCAACGTCGAAAATATTATTCAATATTCAAAATATTGTATTCTGTGTAAACTAAAATGTCGTCAGTTACGCCAATGACATCGTGTCTGGAGCATCTGCAATACTTTAAAAACAGACACGTACAGTTCCCTTTCTATTTTGTTATTTTACCGAGAATAATAAACAATGGAACGGATGATTTCTATTTTATCAAGAGAATGCTGAATCAACAATAATAGGTGAACGTTGCTAGATCTGTGAAGTGAACGACAAAGGAACTTCCATGAACCTGAATTGAAAGCCTCTCAGGAAATACCGAAAATTAATATCTATATGATTACGAATCACTTTTTTATGCGTATACTGTGTGTAAAAGCCAAATGGAATAACTTCATTATTTCGGTTACGAAACATATTTTAACAAAATCTCGAAACACATCAAATTAAAATTATAATTTGACATACTTCAACGGAAAAAGGCCACCCCACCTTCAACCCCCTTCGAGTGACAGGTACAACCACCAATTTTCTGAATAGGAAGGATGTATAGGCTCGTGATATATCGTTTGAAAGGTCTGTTCATTTTCTATTCGAATTTATTGCAACAATTGAGATAAAATATATTAAAATCATGTGGTCACCGAAATTTGATAAAATACACTCAAAACTTATTGCAATATACTCAAAACTTATTGCAATATACTCAAAACTTATTTCAAGTTGAGGTATTGATAATAAGAAAGTAAGCAAAAGCCATGGCAATGTTTTTTAGATGGTATCTTCTAAAAAACTAAAAAAATTCCGTGGCAACGTTAGTTTAAAACGCCTTGTCAACTCGTTTTTTATGTTACAAAATTAGTTGTCAGTATTTTAATTTAAGTTTAAAGTTCGTTAACTTCAAGTCTGACAAATGGTTAGATTAACGAAAATGTATAAAATGACAGTTTTACAAATGATCGGTTACCGAGGTAAAACCCGAACACAACAGGAAGTAGCTCGCCCATATCTCAAGGAACAATAAGGTAAATAGAGAAGCAGTTTCGCGAGCTTGGTCTTGGGGCAGGGGCAAGGGCAACTTGAATGGCGATAATTATTTGGCACTACTTCAAAATGATGTTTTTCCAAGTTGAGCAAATTTATATTCTGATCCAGGAAACCCTCATCCAGTGAATACGATATGGTTTCAGCAGGATATAATTTGTGATATTTATGACTTATTTATTTTGTGGAAATTAGACAAAGTATTTTATCTATATCATATAATTGGACCTCGATATAACATTTCCCATTAGATTCCTTTTTATGGGGATATGTAAAGAGCAATGTGTACAAAAGTAAACCATCAGATTTGAATGACTTAAAAGAACGAATAACGCTTGCGATTAGGTCGATCACGCCTGATATGTTAAATAATGTAAGACAGTTTTATTTGAGATTAGGATGTTGTCAAGACGTTCGCGGTGAACATTTTGAACATCCACTTCGTTAACATCCATAGTTCTTTTTCGTATTCTACGTTTTTCATTACTTTTAGTTTTTGAGTGTATTTTATCGAATTTCGATAGCAACATGATTTCAATTTATTTTATCTTAATTGTTGCAATGAACTTGAAAGCGATAACATTTTTGAATAGAGAATGGAAAGATATTTCAAACGATATATCACAAACCTAAAAAATTGGGGGTTGTACCTGAAGGTAGGGGTGGTCTTTTCACGTCGAAGAAACATTTGACGTGTTTCGGGATGTTTTTTTAATATATACAGTAATCGAAATAATTAATTTATTCCATTTTGCTTTTACACACTGCATATTTTATAGATGGAAAATACATTTTTTTTGTTTATATTGTGATTATTTCAGTATAGGATTGTTTTGAACGATAATGTATGACATATTATATGATAAATGTATTCCGAAGTGATATTTTGTGAATATGGTGTGTATAAAATGTATTTCAGGAAAATGAACATTAGAATAAACGTCAACATTAGAATAAATTCAGTATATGCGACAGTTGTAATACGGCCCGTTTGAATTGAATTATTCACCCTGTAGAATCAGCCATCAAATCCCACTAAATGTAAAATTCCTGCTGGTCATTTGCAAGAAACCTTACTCTGACGTTTTTATTTCACTCAGCCAGATAACAAAAACTCCCAAGGTCTCGTGAGAAGAAAACACAAAGAAAACATTATCTCTACCTGTTCAGCTTGACTTACCTGGAGTTCAGCCTGAGATACGTCGATTTCCCCCTTGTAGACGAATTCGATGATAAATTTCAAGTCGGCGTAACCGACATCTTGAGGCATTATTATCGTCGGATGCTTACAAGGATTTTCTAATAACAGCTTTTGAAAATACGACGAACAGGCAGATAACACTACCTGGAAAAAGAAAAGTTGTTGAAACTTAGATTTTTTTGACAAGGATTGTGTTTGCTATTCGTATTTGGAAGAATATTACGTTTGGTTATAATATCCTGAGTGCACCAAGTTAATTGGTTACAATTACAACATAATTTTCGAAGTTTTGCTGAGTAAATCATTTGAGTGTATACTACTTAATTTGATAAAATCTGGAAACCTTAGGTCGATGGATTTTATTTTTAAGTTTTATACACGAAAGCATTCGCTTAAAAGTAGTTTATTTAAAATAAGGGGATTGCACGCATTTTGACAGCTTGAGCTTAATGAACGACGATATGAAATAATTTTCTGGGGCTGGTTCGCTTACCCTTATAAAGTCTTCTTGGTACAAAAAAGAATCAGAACAATTGCCGAAGTATTTAGTACCCATTCATGTATGGATTTGTTAAAAAAATTTCATTTGGGCTATTAACTCTACCACTTTGCGTTTATGTTTTTTTCAAATAAATGCTGTTTTGAACTTGTTGAAAACAAACACAAAGTGAAAACGAGCCAGAAGAATAATACATATACTATATAATAAAAAATATAAATTAGGATGTATTTCTCCCAATATCGTAGGGCCACAGCTCTTCAATAAGTTATCGAATTATGTTACCGATTCCCCTACCCTGAATGTTTTTAAAAATAGATTGAAAGATATGCTTGTAAAGAAGTGTATTTACTCTGTGTAATACTTTTTGTCCGAAACTGACAGAAAATAATTTATATTCAGCCATTTCTCAATGTATTTTTTAATAGGTAAAATGATTTATGGGTATCCGACGAATCCCATACAATGTATTTGGTCAAGTGGATAGTAAAATATCATTATTATTATTTCTAGAAAATTAGGATTTACATGAAGTAGGAGCATCAATTCATATACATTTTATACGATTCTGCAGGTCTAGTGAATATTCGGGGTGCACCAAGTTTAATCAGTTAAAATGTGTGCAAATCCATATTTTCCAAAATCTTACGGAGCAAATGATAATTTGATTTCGTCTTTAATCAATATACACAAGAGCATTCGCTTGGTAAAATGAAAATTTTCGGAATCTCCATATTTTAAACGATTGACCTTGTATTACAATATAAGTATACCTATATATACCCTAATTTGCCTACGTTTTATAGAATGACATACTTTTGTAGCAAGTCAAAATATTATATACTGGATATATCTGTATCAGCTTTCCTTCCATTTGATCAAATAGTTGAATATAACTAAATGTTTTTCCTTGGTTCATTTCGAAATCTACATTCGATAGTTATTATATTTGCTGCTACATTTAACCATGCTTGGAATTAACCATTTGTTAAATTGTCCTTCCACCTTGATTGTTATAAATCTAAAGTTGTTTTTTGTTTTAATCTTTATTTGTCGTGGAAATGACCAAAAAGACCACTACCAAAGATATAACTAATAAGATGACAACAAAGTTACAAGTAGCTATCCTTACATATTCTTATATCCGTAAAAAAGAGTCATGAAATATATCTAAAGTTATCTAAAAAGATTCAGTAAATTTTTAAATAACTGAATCAAAAGAAAAACATGGTAACTTATTCTATGCCATTTTTATGAATTGGAGATCTTATAAGTCTTATGAAAAATTTAATTTGGACTATTTAAACAAAGCTTCGTGTTATAATAATGTATATAAATAGTATGTAACTTTTTCAAACGGAAAATGCTGTAGCCGTGTTATGATTTTTTTTTTGTTTTTAGTGATTTGAAACTTTGAAAGTAAACTATTCTGTATATGAATACTAATGATATCGCTATACCAATTTTTTTTTCAAAAGATAACCTACCTTATGAGCTTTGAGGGATAAGTTATTGCAGGCTAACGTAACATCAACGAAAGCTTCATTTTGAAGTAATTGGTGAAACACTGATGTCATATTGCTTTGATAATTGTTCCATCGTAAGCAGTACTGTTGGCCGTCATCCATCCTCCCTAAAAAAAACATTCATTGTCATTATATTGCTATGTAGTAGCGGTAAAATGGTAGTTGATGAAAATTACCCCAGGATAAACCATTTGATCTCAGAAATGACATGTGCAATGAACTATATCCATCCAACAAAAAAGGCAACCCAAACAAAGATATATGCTTGATCAAAGCATGATCACTACGCACATTTGCATCTATTGGGTGAAATAAACTAGCCTCCTTACGCTGGCCAATCAGATTCAACTGCAATCGGCTGGCAGAATTCATTGTTACAATGTCAGGGTGGTCAGTTTCGTTTTAACGCCTGTGTTATGTACTTAACCGTATTTTTTTATTCAAAATTTCTAAAATGTCAAATACTGATACGACTAAAATACACCCTACCAAAAAAATCCTATATCCAGCCACATATTATTAAAAAAATTAGGTCGTTCCTTAGGGCTGTACAAGCAGCCTTGTCTGAGATGGACAGAGTATAGTTTACGTTTGAAAACAGATTGTTCTTTCATGTGTTTTCCAACGGAGCAAAAATTTTGTTCAGATGATTTTTGTTGTTGCCGTGGGGGCCGATTACTATATAGATTTATTTATAAAGTTATTTGACTTCAAACTTTTGTTACATAGAAAATCATTTGAGATGTAGTTTAGAGAATTTATATTCTGCTGAAGTAAAATTATACCAGGTGACTAGGAAATCATTATACACAGTGCCTTTCATTTGTTTGTAGAGTGAGAAATTTAAAATTGAACTGAAAACCTATTCCGGTTCAACCGGAAATAGAAAATGATGATATATAACCGATTGATAGGATATAAAATTGCCTTTTCAACAATATAACACAAGTGATAATTTCTATTCAAAATGGCGAAGTACACAAGCAATTTTTGCCAAATTCAATATGGCGACACTACGATGCCATCCATGAAAAAACTGTCAAAAAACAATTGAAGTTGTCTACCAACTCTCGAAAATAGTACCTATTAGTTGAAGCTAACATGCAATTCATTTTTCCATGTCAGTGATAAAGTGAAAGTTTCGAAGCTGATCTATCTCATATGTGTGCAAATCGAGCCTGATAAGAGATTTTCTTGCTATCCTAACCCTCAAATGAGTACCCCCTCAAAACTATAAAAAAAATTCCCTTGTTTCAACTTTAAACTTTCTTTCATCTTAAAATTTGTGTCCGGTGGATGAGTATTTGTTTTCTGTTCATTGATTTATAGGTCAATCTTCTGTGCTTTTTTTCTAGTCTCTTTACTGCCTTCTCCAATTCTGTTTTTGTTCTATAAAGAGTCATTAGCGATATCTTCTGATACACGAGGTTTATATTTATAATCGTGATATGCATGTCTCTTTATCTTATTATTTACTGCATCATTCGGTAAACTACAGCACTCTCTTGACACAGATCTTACTTGTAAGTCTAGATCATTTCGATGTGATATCAGTTTTCGGGTCTTCCTTGAATTAAATCTAGGTTCGTTGAATATATTATGTGCTAGTAGCCTTCTAGTTAATATTCGAGAAATTGTCCGTCCGGTTTTGTTTTTCTGGACTTTCTCACTTCTTTTGTGCATTCAGTGAATTTCTAGTATTACATTTGATTATACAATAATTTTTTTCTTACTAATATTAGAAGTCACTGCCATGACAACAAGTGATAAAAAATGATACTTTTTGTTTTTACATGTCAATTGATCTTACCTGTAAAAAATATTGTTTCAATCTAAGATCAAATTTTTGTGAATTGATAAAATCATTTCATACTTCTCAGGCAACATTTTTTAAAATCGGATGGTTTTTCATAATGAAAAACTTTACCACCAATTGCACGATGTATTCAAGAGAAGAATGTAATGTAATATGTACAGAAAATACGAAACGTTGCAAATTTGCTAAGGCCAAATCAAAGAAAATGTATTTTTGGTTAAAAATATCAAATATTGTTTCGAACAACAGAAAATAATTTACAGAATTTGTTTTTTGTCCCATATTTCAGAAACCGGACCTGATACAGTCATTTTTTTCACTAATGGAGAGATCTGCATTTTCTTTTGATTTAACCTATGCATTCACACTGAAATATAATGGCTTCACTGTTTATTGAAATTTGATTTTGAAAAATTAGTAATATATTTGGAAATTGAATGCGCTTTTCATGAAAATGTTTATAAACTGCTTTAGTACTTGTCCAAGCTCCCGACGTGATCGATAAAAGCCACCCTTTGTCTGGTTTCCAGGGACTTCGCTGCAGAAAAGCCCTGAACATGGCATAAGCAGGTTTTCATAATGACATGTCACAATATACTTCGAACGTACTCCTCAAATATAGTGGGATCATTTTCTTCAAAGACACTTGCAGCTGTTTCTATTTCCATAACGTAAAAAACGAATAGGAACTAGGGGGTGACTGTTTTTGTTGAGGGCTTATACGGTGGGGTGGACTATTTCAATAGGCACTGCTAGAGGAAGCGAATGTTCGGTTGCCGTTGTAACGAAACAGGGTGTGGGGAAATAAAAGAGGCTGGAGAACAGTTTATAATGCTGACGAGGTTCTTCATTCAATCCCTAGATGGCGATAGTAGTAACGTTTCGTCGACTGTGTCACAGTTTGGTGTGAATATAATAATCTTGCATTACGTAACTATTGCGACTATTGAATGGATGAAGATATAAATAGAATTCGTGTTTTATTTACTTGTGGGTCGGAAAAGCACGATGCAGTTTCGTTTGTGACGACAGCTCGGATCAGCTTAACAAGTGGATTGAAACTATTTTTATTGTCGTTTGATTAGAAAATAAAAAATGATACTAATTTTCAATCCCTCTTTTCCACCTGATCAAAGCTGTCTGGATGAATGTATTTTGTAACAAAAAAAACGGAGAATGCTTCGATTATGTTGTATATAGTATATATAAAAAAATGGATTTCCTTATTTTTTCTTAAGAAGGAGAAGTTGTGTTGTTGATATTTGCAATGGCATGACATTAATAAACAAACCTAAAAAGTGAAAAAACAGAATTTTCCATTTTTTCATTTTTTGTGGAACCTTCATGTATAATTTTTCAGGCGTTTTTCAAGTTCTGCACAATCTTAAGTGTAACGAAGGGCGAACTGAAAAGTTTAAATTTTACTTTTTTTGGGAAAAATTAAAAACCCAAAGAAAATAAAAAAGTTGACTCATGGTTCAGTTCATATTAACATTCATTCATTTGATCAGATATGACACATATTCTGTGTCGTTAGGTTAGGTTGAACTAGGTATATGAACATTTTTGACATGCGACTACTTAAGAAAAATTGTGGATTATAAAACAAAATCAATTACTGGAGACGGGATGCAAAATTAAAATAATGGAAATCCTTGAAACTTGCTTTGGCTGTTTACGTGTAGTAAGAAACCGAAAACAAGCCAGTCAAACATGAGTTTAGAGAACAACACGAAAGCAAGAAGGCAGGTATACAAAGAAAAACCGTTGAAAATCGTCGACCGTACTCAAGCTACACGACGGCAGGTCAGTCTCAGGAAGTGGAGTTCCTTTAACGAATAAAATTATATATATGGAAACACACCTCACAGCTAGCTCCAAAATGTGTGTTCCTAAGACACTTCCACGATGGAATATTTATCATGAAATGGTTTTCATGAAATAAGTAAAAACATTTCCATGTTTTTACTTAATTCATTCGTTTCGTTAATTCGTTTTTTACACGAAATGGGATCTAAAAAGATGGACCAGTTATGTTTTTTCGAATAGAATATCAGATGTTATCGGATATGCCAATCAATGATGCAACAGTTATTGTAGGAGTTGATAATTAATAATAATGAATTTATTCAAGCGAAGACATAAAATACAATGTTACAGGCACGCATAATATATGGAATACATTGATACGATACATTGGTTACAATGACCCTAATTTATTCTGAACAAATTCAAGGAACCCACAAAGGAAATCCTGTGCGTGGGTATTGCCCAACAACATTTCTTCATGACGATGCCAAAGCAAAAATTTAAAAAACTGTCATCAAACACTTTTCAATTTTATACGTGATCCTTTATATAATTTAAATTTTTCTTCGTAGATCGATAAATTTTAATTTTCGAAATACGAAAACGTCAAAATAATTGAAATTTGTGGAAGTGATCGCGTTCTAATCGGTTGAGCTTGGCGTATGTGTTGAAATCATTACCAGAAAAGAAAAATTTTATATCAACTCAAAAATTCAGTTTCAACATCATAATCTTACGGAATATATCTCAATTAATAATTTTTTTGAAGAAGGTGCACCGATTTCTTGTTCATTCAGTATCGTTAAAAGTATATTACGTGCCGAGTAGGATAAGAAGCCAACTACCAACGAGCAAAAAATTGTAAGCATAAGACGTTAGCCGACTGCGATAATTCGCGAGTGGACGTAATTGGTCGTATCTTCTAGATGCGTACTATACTTTTTCTACGACTGACCGTAGAAAAGAATGGTGCAATATATTTGTTTGAGATTATGGTTTTGGATAATAAACATATTCAGTCAGGTAGTCAGAACTCAATTAAATGATTGAAACATTGGTGACAATATTTTCTACAAATTATTTCATAAGGGTTCATTTTTGTTATAAATATGAAAATAATTACAAATCTCTATAAAAGCATATATTTCCCTGCTAGGAATCACACATTGAAAGTTAGGATCTTGTTAAAATGCAGACTTTTGAGGGTTGTTGATAACAACGGGAAAAACATGATACATGTGTGCCAGTAGTTACTAAAAATAATCTTCTACAATTTTTCGACTAGTTATCACCAAAAATATTCACTTTTAAAGCATCTGTCAAACTTAGTCCTCACAAGGTCTTCATTCAAAAAACACTTTATTGTGAGATTTTCTCTAAAAAGTTTTACAAAAACGCAACACGTGTTTCGCCATACAATGGCTTCTTCGGGTGTGTCATTACTAACTATATTCTACATATATTCAATACTTTATATACCTA